CTTTGTAATGTTTGTTGGTTGCATGTTATAATTAGCACACCAGGCAGCAGAAATCCCAAGGGAACTAAAAGATGCCACTTCCCAATAGATTGTTAAGTAGACATTCTTCTGTTCCACGTTACAGCAAACCACAAAAGAAGGCTTGTTTCAAACAGCAGTTCCAATATTTGAGCAGACTGCTTTTTCTTTTTCTTCCAGGTTCCGCTGCATTGTGTATCCTTTCAGACAAAAACTAACTCTACAGGTAGCTCTGATCATCGTAATCATCATTTGGGTCTCAGCCTTAATCATAATGTGCCCCTCCGCAGTTACCTTGACTGTCACCCGAGATGAAAACCACTTCATGCTGGATGCTTATAACAACTCCTACCCTTTTTACTCCTGCTGGGAAGCCTGGCCAGACCAAAAAATGCGCAAGATTTATACCACTGTCCTTTTCTCACACATTTATCTTGCTCCTCTCATCGCAATTGTGATCATGTATGCTCGGATCGCCTTCAAACTCTTCAAGTCCTCTGCACCTATAAGAGGCTCCCAGTCAGAGGACAGCGAGGGAAGAAGGATCTCTAAGAGGAAAATAAAAGTTATCAATATGCTGATTATTGTGGCATTGTTCTTCAGTCTCTCTTGGCTGCCCCTTTGGACTTTAATGCTGCTGACCGATTATGGGAACCTGACTGACCATCAGCTCAGCCTCATCACGGTTTATTTTTTCCCATTTGCCCACTGGCTGGCTTTCTTTAACAGTAGTATCAATCCAATCATCTATGGTTACTTCAATGAAAACTTCCGGAGAGGATTCCAAGCTGCCTTCAAAATCCAGTTTTGCTCGGCAGAAAAGGAACATCAAGAAACATATTCTGATCGTAACCACAGTAGATTTCATTTTAGAGCACGCAATCGGATATTCGTTGAAGTTCAAGGCTCTGATTCGGTGGAGCCTTCTGATTCTAGAGAAAGCAGTGTTTTGAAAACAGGATTGTTTTTTGCCAAAAATGGGCAGGCAGTTCACCGTGGGCTGAAGGTGGAGGATTTGGACAGTAAAAGTTGCTCTCCCAAAACTGTTAGCGTCCCTGCTTGGGACATCTGAGCATATTTCAAACTTCTTTGAAATGATGAGTTGACTTTACTAGATGCGAGATATTTTCAGAATACAGTGGTACCTCTGTACTCATAGTTAATAGGTTCTGGCAGGCACAATGAGTACCAAAAATGATGAGAACCAAATAAATTTTTCACATAAGGAATAATATACAATGTGTCACAAGGCAGCCAACACCAACAAGTTCTGGCTTGTGTGTTGAGTATCAAACAAATGATGAGTATCGGGGAAATTTTTTTTGCATCAAAATACATTGAGTACCAAATTTGATGAGTTTCAAAGCAGTTGAGTACCAAGATACCACTGTATGCTCATAGCCGTTTCAGAAACATGCTTTAAGCAAACTATGAAGATCAAATACTTTATCATTGTTGATACTAAGGAAAGGATGTGAGGTGTGGGAGATGTTCCCATCTTCAAATCCCCACTTTTGGTTGCATAACATGCATGCTTCTAATGTGTTTCAGTCTACCATAATATCTTTCTCCTTCCCTGCCTCTGTTTAAAGGAAAATCAAGTATAGTTGGAGGAGGAAGGTTGTGGTGAATATACATTGATAATGCAAATACCTCATCCAATGGATTCCACTGGCTGTGCTACTTCAATGCAAATAATAAACTTTGCATCATACGCATCAAAAAGCATAAATCGTTTAGTTGTTGCTCAAAATCAGCACCGCAATGATTCCACTAATTTTTCTGAGATTACATCAGGTGATTAAGGCAACAGGCTAGAAAACAGGAGACTGTGAGTTCTAGTGCCGCCCTAGGCACAAAGTCAGCTAGGTCACCTTGGGCGGTTCACTCTCTGTCAGCCTTAGGAAGAAGGCAATGGCAAACCATTTCTGGAACCTTGCCAAGAAAACGGCAGGTACTAGTCCAGGCAGTGCCCAGGAGTCAACACTAATTGCAAGGTACCATGACAACAACAGTACTATGGGTGCTTCTAAATGATAGCTGCATATTATGCAATTGTCCGGCGAGAAATTCTGGGAGTTGAAGTCCACAAGTCTTAAAGTTGCCAAGTTTGAAGATCCCCCTGGACTAGGCAGATAATAGGAGTCCTTTGTTTTACTTTGACCTTAATCTTCAGTCTCTGTTTAAGGGATATTTTGGTAATGTTAAGATTACCAAAGTGCCATATATATGACACTTAGCCAGATTTCCTTGGCTCTACTACAGTTTAACCACAACAGCACACTAACTTTCTAGATTGGTTGTTGGATTGCGATTTACAAAATATCCAGCCACCATTATGATCTAAAATTAAAGCCCATGCTAAATGGGCCCAACAAAACCAAAATGTGAATGACAGCAAAATGATGTAAACATATCTCAACTACACATGCATCAACTGATTCTATTGGGCCCATTTAGGAAATAGGAATTGAGACCAGTCTGTTTTCACTGCAGCAACCCAGGCCCTACCCTCCTCTTCTCTCTCATGCTGTGTGTTGGTGTGTATCTGTATGTCTCTGTGTTAAAAATGGTAGAGCAGCTGTGATTGAATCCTTGAAGCCCTACTCGAGGGGTCTTCAAACTTGGCCCTTTTATGACTTGTGGACTTCAACTCCCAGAATTCTGGGAGTTGAAGTCCACAAGTCATAAAAGGGCCAGATGTGAAGACCTCTGCCCTACTCTATTCTTTTACAGACAGTCCTTGACTTATGACAATTGAGCCCAAAATTTTTGTTGCTAAGTGAGACATCTATTAAGTGAATTTTGCTCCATTTTACAATCTTTCTTGCCACAGTTGTTAAGTGAATCTCTGCAGTTGTTAAATTAGTAACATGGTTGTTAAGTGAATCTGGCTTCCCCATTGACTTTGCTTGTCAAAAGGTCGCAAAAGATGACCACACGGCTCCGGGACAATACAATGGTCATAAATGTGAGTCAGTTCCCAAGCGTCTGTTTTGATCACATGACCACGGGGATGCTGCAACGGTTGTAAGTGTGAAAAATGATCATGTCACTTTTTTCAGTGCCATTGTAACTTCAAACAGTCACTAAGTGAACTGTTGTAAGTCGAGGACTACCTGTATGGTTAAGTCAGGAAAAAAAGGCAAAACATTTTACATTTTACAAATTGCACAAGAATTTACAAGATGTTAAAACAAAGGAAAATAAATACCTTATTCTTTCAAGTAAGATTGCATGGGAACAGATATAAAGAAATCATGTTAGCAGTGTAAATTTAAGAACTGAACAAAGATAATGAGAATCATTAGCCAAATCAATACAGTGTTGAAGGAAAAGTCTTCATCATGGTTCAGTCCAAGCCGGGAATAAACAACATGGCAACTGCTTTAGAAAGAAGGCTGGTTTATTAAAGAGGAGAGCCAGACAGAAAAATGGCTCTGGAAAAAAAGAGGAGAGAGAGCACATGTAGGGAGTGGGTTTTTATACCCTCTGGGGCTCTTGAGGCTGTTTCCTGTTCCTGTTTGAGGCTTTGTATTTCCTGTGTCATGTATTTTGACCTGCTTCTAGGTGTGCCCTTCTGGTATTCTGATGGTGGTGGGTTAATCCTATTATGTCCCAAGGGTCATATCCTGCTTCTCTGTGGCTGTGGCTGATGACTCTTAGATTTGTGGTGTTGATTCTAGGGCAGGGGTAGGCAATCTTGGCTCTTTTATGACTTATGGACTTCAATTCCCAGAATTCCTGAGTCAGCATGGCTCAGCTTGGACCTCTCCCTTTCCCCTCAGCATGACTGGCTCAGGAATTCTGGGAGTTGAAGTCCACGAGTCATAAAAGAGCCAAGGTTGCCTACCCCTGTTCTAGGGATCTTTCTTCCTAATCCCAGTTTCCTGATTACAGTCTTTCTGACAAGATTATCTGCATTTTTACAGAGCTGGTTTCTGCTTGGGGGAGGGAGACTTGGGGCTATTAAGAAAAATTGGGCATGCTTTTCTGCCTCTTTAAGATCCTTTGAGAAAATATATTTTTCTGCCCTTTTAATATTTCCTTCTCTGGGGGGCTGACCTCCCACAACAGTAAAAACCTAGTAAGAATTAATAACACTTTCTAACTAATCAGACGCAGTACCATTATGGCCAATTAGAAAATAAGCGTTTTATCGTCCTGGTGTTAAAAGTAGCTCAAACTTTAAATAAGACACAGAGCCGCACGTGATTTAATTAAAAAAAACCCCATTATTTCTCAACTTCTGGAACTTTAAGATGTGTAGACTTCAACTTTCAGAATTCCCTTGACAGCATGCTAGCTAATAAGTGAATTCTGGGAGTTGAAGTCCAAACATTTTAAAGTTCCCGAGATTGAGAAACACTGCCATAAACCGATGAAGAAAGTGTCTCGTGCCCATCTTGCAGGTACGACTATGTCCATGATAATTTACTATGTCAGTGTTTCTCAACCTTGACAATTTTAAGGCATGTGGACTTCAACTCCCAGAATTCCACAGCCAGCAATGCTGGCTGTGGAATTCTGGGAGTTGAAGTCCACATGCCTTAAAATTGTCAAGGTTGAGAAACACTGTACTATGTCTACATTTTGTTGCGGGGAAGGCAAGATAATAAGATCCACAAGTAACGATCTCTTCAAAATATATCACAAAACACCCAGTCAATGCTGGAGGATAATTGCCCTGTCCCTCTTCGTCCGTGTGTTGAAATCGGACCGAAGGGTGATCTCAGCCTTTTCCATAAACGGGAGTCGGAAGCGAACGGAGGGATGACGGAGTCTACCTTTTCCTACTTCTATAGGCGAACGGGAGTCCTGCGGAGGAGCAGCTGAGAAAAGAGAGCCTGCGCACTCTGGCACCGGATGATGAAACACTCCGGCGGCATGCTTGCTCCATGCCGCGAGGGGCGGGGCCGAAAAGGAGGAGGAGGAGCCAGTCGGACAAATCAGGGCCCGCCCTGGGCGGCTGCGCGGTGCGTTTGCCTTGCTCTTGTGGCTCATTTCGAGAGCCGGTCCGCCTGAGCAGCATGGCTGCTTACCGAGTGGAGGAGCGGGGTACCCTCAATAGCGTCGATTACAGGCTCTTCTTCAGTGAGTCCTTGGCGGGAGGACGGGCGGGCCGCTCCCTTCCCCGGGGGCGGCCTGCGGGGCGCGTTATTGGGGCGCAGCCAGCCTTGGGGACCCTCCCGGAGCCAGCCGCTCTTTGCCACGATCAATGAATGTATGCTGCGCGAGATAAGGCGGCATTAGGGATCGGTTTGCGTGGCGCCCGCGGCTGCAAGGGCGTGAACCGGGCTCCAAGCGAGAGATAAATGTAAAGTTTCACTTTCCTCTGGGTCGCCTGCAACCGTTGCGAACCTGGCGGGTCTCCTGGGGGGGGGTGTCGGGAAGAGCGTGTTTCCAAGAAACTGAGTAAACCTGGATGTGCCTCCTGAAAAATTGTTTGGGTCATCCCAAACTAGTCATCCTCGGAAGCAAGCCAGGTCGAGTCCGTTGGCGCTTAGTTGTAGCTTAAGTAGGGAGTATGGATGGGAAACGCGTTCAACGGCGCTTAGTTGTAGCTTAAGTAGGGAGTATGGATGGGAAACGCGTTCAACGGCGCTTAGGTGTAGCTTAAG